GTTCGCGCGAGCTGCAGCTGATTTTACGAAAGGCCTCGCGGCCACAGACTAATCTTGAGCACCGCTGTTTAGCTTCGCGCACGGGGATTCGTCGGACTACGGAAAACGAGCAAATGAAGCTAGATTACGTACGAAATGCTTAAGTAATATTAAAAAGGGAAACTACATTGATCTCCCGTTCGAGGAACCGAACAGTCTGCTCGCGATTTGGTTTTCCAAAGATGAACATTTCATCTGGTCGAGATTCCTCTATATAAAACTATGTAAAACTATATAAAAAGCTGTAATACTATATAAAACTATAAAAACTCTATGAAACTATATAAAACTATATAAAACTATAAAAACTGTATAAAACTATATAAAACTATATAAAACTATAAAAACTGTATGAAACTATATAAAACTATATAAAACTATAAAAACTATATGAAACTATATAAAACTATATGAAACTACATAAAACTATATAAAACTATACAAAACTATAAAAACTCTATGAAACTATATAAAAAGCTGTAACACTATATAAAACTATTCAAAACCGCGTCGATCGCAGAGGCGAATGTATGCAGCATACCCTTTGACTCCGACTGCAACGTCCGTTCCACTTGCATCGACAGATCGTTAACCGAGGCTCTCGATCGGCGAGATCGCCGGGCAACCCGCGCGCAACCTATCCGGGTCGATCCGCCGAAGATAAGGAACTCCTACGAACCGACTCGCAACCGTGACGAATATCGTGACGAAAATCGTGACGGAAATCGTGACGCAACGTGGAGAGAGCGGCTTAGCCGGCTAACCGGCTAACGTCGGACGGGAAGAAAAGGAAAAGCCGTGAATGGAGGACGATCGCAGGTTTTCGGGCTGCCTAGCTCCGGCTAGACCGGCCACGGAGGGAGAGGGGCACGGGGAAGAGGAAGGTGCGGCTCGGTCTGGGATCGAGCGCGTTACGAGTCCTTCTCGCGAGTCTCGTTCTCAGGAACCTGAGACCGGCGAGCGGCAGTTGTACGTATATAATGCACGGGGGAGAATTCACCAATGCGACAACAGCCGCGAGAAGGAATGCGAGGAACGAGGCTGCCTCCTCTTCCCTCCAGCCTCGTCTCCGCGTTTCCTCCGTTTCCTGCGGGAAGGATCGCTCCTTTTCCACCGGCCTCTCGCCTCTGCTGCCTGTTTATCTTGCCTCGCCTCCCCTTTCGCCGATCGACCGGACCATTCCACGGGGACACCACGGGGAGCGGTCTTCTCCTTGTTTGTTCGCCTACCGGTTGCCGTCGGACAAATGGGAATAGGATAATGGAGGAGAGGGCTTATCGGGAAACGGATCGAATTGCTCTGGGAGAAACTTTCGAGAGTGTCCCACGAAGAACGCCAGCTGTAGGAATAAGCGTCTTATCGACGAATAAGCGTCTCGAGGCGCGGCGGTTCGCCTTATTCGTTCGCGTAGCCGCAACACCGCCTCGTCCTTTTGTCACTCGGAGTTCATCCGAGATATCTATGGGAAACACTATACTGTGCCAGGAGGACACTGCATGGTGCTCTCGATGCGTATACGCTTCCCCTTAATCGTGAACAACCTCGCGTGTTCCGCGTAGAGATAAGGACTGCGCGACTATGATTACAAGAATGCGGGTCCTCGTCGCCCCTTTTTCACGAGCGGTCCTCCGCGCCGTGCTCGCGGGATCGCTGGCTTTCCCTGGGAACGTCGACAGGAAAAGCGTCCTTATCTTCATTAGTGTATTCCTCGTTCACAAAGAACACTGCGTCTGGGCAGTGCCCAATATTAACCCTTCGCGGTCCAGAAGTTTTTCACCGGAAATATTCAATATTTTCTAATGAGATGCAGACAACATTTTCTTAGATTGAGAAATCTCACGTGCATCGAGGAAGAGGACTATTTTCTTTCAGTGTTTCGTACATCGATGCATTATACAGAGTCTAATATTAAATATCAAAGTTTACAGTTTCGCTGTGTCAAATCATTTGGTGACTTAGAGGCGCCTCTGGAGTGCGAAGGGTTAATTTGGCAGAATTTGCAAAAGGTTTTGTATACTTTCAACAATCTTCGTCCGCAAAGGGTTAACTCTTTGCGCTCCAGAGGCTCCTCTGAGTCACCAAATGATTTGATACAGCAAAACCGTAAACTTTGATATTTAATATTAAACTTTGTATAATGCATCAATGTACGAAATATTGAAAGACAATAGTTCTCTTCCTCAATGCATGTGAGATTTCTTAATTCGATCTGAGAAAATGTCGTCTGTATCTCATTAGAAAATACTGAATATTTCCGGTGAAAAACTTCTGGAGTGCAAAGGATTAAATGTCTATTGCCTGGAACCCTCTCGATAACTTAGTGTTGGGACCCGGGTGAATGACGCGAAGTTCGATTCGTTAATAATAATTATATTTCGGCGTTTCAACGTATTCTCCAGATATAACACATCGAACGACGCGGAAACAGACAATTTCGGACAGACCGCTAACCAACAGGGTTGAAGGAATAACTATCTATTATCCCAGAGATTCCAATTCTTATATACTAAGCTTTTCGCTAAGGAGGGGATGTCGGTGACCCTTGGTACCTGATGACTCGTTATAGATGACTAGTCCTGGATGAGACATTTGTGTATTTTATGTAGGATTTTGGACTTGCGAAAAACATGCTGAGTAAGATATTTTGGACGCGGCGGGTCTAGGACGCTTATCTATGGTGGGTCATTAGGTTGGTCATCCAACATTAGATTCCCAACGTTTCGTACACATCCGATCGAATTAGCGATCCTTTCGGATCTGCGACCTTTCCGACAGTTCAAAGCGAACGCTGATAGAAAGTCGGGAAGGAACTGATTGGACAAGGTAATGGTTGATCATCCAACGGGAGCCATGGCGAAATCCGTGCGGAATGCGTTCGATGTGCACGGCGGAACGATCGAACGTGGCGGGCCGGGACGGGACGGGACGGCACGGGACGGGACGATGAGTCATAATTCGAGCAAAGAGATCCCGCGAGCCACGCGAGCGAGCGTAATCCCTCGCTGGCGAGCTATGGTATTATGTTTCGTTGCAAAGTTCCATGGTGGTCCACCTGTCAGCGTCGCACCTGCCTTCGTAACCACTTAATGCCGACGTTAATGACCATTCATGGATCGTTGGGCGCACGACATGTGGGTAGTAAGCTGGAACACGATTTATTCTCCGCGCTGTGTCGCTTTCTTTCGCCCTTCCACGCTCACGGTCGGCCCGCGGACGATCTTCGCGATTAACCCTTTGAAGATTGTTGGAACTGTAGGAAACCTTCTGCAGATTCTGCTAAATTAACCCCTTGCCGTACAACGACGAGTAAGACTCGCGACGAAGATTTCTAAACTAATTTAAGAGTCAGTGTTGTTCATTACCCACGGATCAAAGCGAACAACTATTTTGCTATTATCAATGTATCATCTTCAAATGAAATTTCCACCTCAAGCAGAATGGAAAATTTTGTTGTATCTTTTACAAATTGTCGGTGGTAAAATATTACACGAGCTTAGTAACGAAAGTAAATAGTACGCCAAGGGGTTAAACGTTCGATGCTTAAATCGTAGAGAATAATGAAACTGTGTACTGATTTATTGCTGTTCGAACAGCTAAATCATTTGTTCGTAATTCGGTATTCCGAACGTGAAAGTTTGATTCCGGCAAAATGCCGACGTTCGTCCGCAAAGGGTTAACCCGTAGCAGTCCTACGTCGAGTCTCGACATTCTATTTTACTGCAACCTCTACCTGTTTTAACACTTTTTTCTATATTTATTTGTGGTATCACAGTTGTACCATTTAAAGATAACATTTCGATGACTCCCAAATATTCTTGATTAAATAAATAGTGCGTCGTATTAAGCTGTAATTGAATGAACTAACGTCGACGTGAATCTCGAAGTGAGAAACCAAGAGCACTTCGGACCGCAAAGGGTTAGACTCAGGATAGAAACCGATCTGGGACAAAAATCGGCTTAACCTGTTAGTTTGTATCGTGTATATCTTTTCGAACGGTACGCCATTATAGCAGAATTCTAATCCAACGTAAACGCACAATTCTATCAGTCCTAAATCACATTGATATTACATTTCTGATACGCAGACCGCGTCGAGCGTTGCCATGCACGGGTACAGCTTCGCGGTTAATCCCGGCGTAGCTGAGAGGTTAAAAACTTCGAATCGGTATTGTAAGATAATCTTGTGAATGGAAAGTCGAACGCTGGTCGTCCGCGTTTCGTGAATCGGTGCCTTCCTAAGGGAAAGCGACCCCGAGTCTCGGACCGCAATAGACAGAGAGCCTGACAGGACAGGGTCCTTCCGAGAAAGACCCGGCTTAACATTATTTCTGTAACCTCCGACCGAGGATCATCAGATTGAAAGAGTATTATTCAAAGTTCTCAGCATTTCATTTCGCCTAGAAGATCCCGGCTTATTATACTTCGATTTATTCGGCGATTTAAACCTTTGCGGACGAACATTCGAAGCATAAAAAACCTTCAATACATGAAGCTAAATTATATATCAATTGTTTAACTAACCCTTTGCACGCAGTTTTTCACTAGAAATATTTGAATATTTGATGATGAGATAAAGACGATACTTTGTGAAATTAACTCGAAGAGAAATCACACGTACATCGAGCAACGAAACTATTTATATTTCTCAAATTGATGCCTTACACATAGTATAATATTAAATATCAAATTTTATAACTGTATAAAATCGAGTGGTGAGTGAGAGTCACCTCTCGAGTGCAAAGGGTTAAAAGTACGTGCCGATCTCTCGCTGCTCGACTAATTGGATCATTTGTCAATGACTCGGTCTTCGAAATCTGAACGTTTCATCTCGCGAAGTACCGACGCCCGCAAAGAGTTAAATCTATTTTGCGATCGCGAATCGGTTCGTGGCCGAAACACGAAACCGCTGGACGTTCGCGTGTCCGTGCGAGGCTAACGAGGCATCGTTATTTGATTTGCAGATGCGACCGTAATCACGAGCGACGGCCTTCAAGGCTACGACCCTCAGTTCATGGTCGGCTGTTACTTTCCCGCGGAATTTCAGGGTGAGTTCGTGACACAGGTGAGCGGAAAGGAAGCCAGCGATGCGACCGGCGTGCAGCCCATTCAGTACTCCACCATCAACATCATGTTCAACGCGATACCGGTGTGGGGTTACTGCCACAGGAGGGTCGGCGATAACGTGTTGCTAATGGACAGGTCGGTCTCCGCCGATACCGTGAACAATTCGCTTAATACCGCGCCGATTTCATCCGTCGGATCGCTCGAGTGCAGGCTAATTTCACGCGTGTTATGAAACCGATCGATTGAGAAACCGTGCACAAACAGTCTCCCAGCGCTGTCTACCGTTTTCCTTGATCTCCTGCTTCCTTCCTTCCTTTGATCAACGTCAACGTGATCAACGTTTGCAAAACCGACTCAGAACCTTCTGTTCCCGGTTGATTTTCGTGCGATTGATTTCTCCTTTTCTTCCTTTTGTCTCAATTCGTAAAAACCTGTAACTGTTCTTACCATACGCGTTTAACAAGGAGAGGAAATGATATAAGAATCTTTTATTGAATGAAACTGTGTATGATACAGTACATATCTAGAAATGAAAAACCCTCGTGGCTTTCTTGACAATGGTCCTCCGAAAGAAATAAGTCTTGTGTCGACTAAGTTTGTATGTATTGTGATAAGACGATTAGAAGAAGCTTACTAACAACGCGTAGCAGCAGTGGTAGCACGCCTACGACGCTTAAGTCCCGAATCTCCGTGCTTGGAATTCTTTTCCTCCGCTTCTCTGTTCGCTTCTGAATTATCTCTAAATAATTTGTATTTGTTGTCGTAAGTCCCAAATTTCCATGCTTGGAATTATTTTCCTCCGCTTCTCTGTTCGCGTTTGAATTATCTCTAAATAATTTGTATTTGTTGTCGTAAGTCCCGAATCTCCATGCTTGGAATTCTTTTTCTCCGCTTCTCTGTTCTCCTTTGAATTATCTCTAAATAATTTGTATTTGTTGTCGTATCATTCATCTTGTCACAGTAAAAAACAGTCCAAAGAAGCCATAAGGGTTCGTCATTTCTAGATATGTCTATAACGTGCATAGTTTCATTGAAGAACAGATTTTGTCTGGCCTCCTTGCATCGGCATAAAAATTCACAAGTACTCGGGATATCCAACAGGGTCCATTAACAATGACGAATGGCGAAATGGACTCGAACGTGCACGTTTTCGTGCGCGAAAACGCCCCACTCGTGTACGCAGTTCGCTCGATGCATCCTCGGGGATGCTTCGACGTCTGCACTGTGTCTGAGACGAAAATAGTCCAGACGCCAGACCGCGTCGGCCGCATATTCCGGCTGAGGCTGGTCCATGCTAAATATAATAGATCGATAGCGACATATAATAGTTACGTGCTCGAATCGACGGAATTCGCTTGTTCTTTCGAGGAATCTGAAGTCGGGAATTTTAGTTTCCTCGCAATCGGGTTGCAGGAATTAACCCTTTGCACTCGAGAGGTGACCCTCAGTCACCACTTGATTCAACGCAGTAAAACTATAAAATATATTTAATGTTGAACTTTGTATAACGCCTCGATACGTGAAATATTGAAATAAAATAGCTTTGTTCCTCAATATACTGGCGATTTCTCTACGTTAATTACGACCCTTGGGAAGTTCAATCAAGGTTTCATACTTTCAGAATAGAATTAATATGTTCTTAATTTTGTTAGTTCTTAATATGTTCTTAATTTGTTCTTTAACCCTTTGAACTCTGTAGGCTCCAATATTGCACCAGTTCTAATATTAAACATTTCAATGAATCTTAAGAGAACTACCTTAAGATTATTAGATCTCCCAAATATACAAAGCTTGTACTTAGAAGGGAGTTAAAGGTTTAAATGTTATAACATTGTTAATTTTCAGTAGGACTACTATCAAAATTGGTAGGAGTTGCTGACATGTCACAAAAAACGTTAAATATTTCTATTGAGAAATTTCCGAGTGCAAAGGGTTAAAGAACCATCGGTCGTCGAGTTATTGTTTATCGCTTAAAACGTTTCATGCTTCACGAGTTTTCATTAGAAAGATTCGATGTCTTGAATGATTCGGGTTTGCTGCAGGTACGGCGATGGCGGCGAGTGCATCCGATGCTTCCGGTTGACGAGGAGGTCGAGGAACGTCATCGAAGTGTTCTCGGAGGATCTGAATAGGTGTTACACCACTATATCCACCGCTTTGGCTTCTTGCGACATGCTGAACTCTACGTCCATCTTGTACCGTGAGTCTTTTGTTCTTCGTTGTTCAGCATTAGCTCTTCAGCCGTCGGACAAAGCGTTCACCGATGATTCCTGTCCGTATACAGGTACCAAAGAGATCGGAAATGTTCCTATTCGAAACGAGTACTGCCCCATAACCGGACAGTACCATTTCAAGTACAGCTTAAACAATGGATCCGAACGTGCCATCGAATGCAACAGCTTCTCCTCGTCGTTCAACAACTGTCCCGATGGCTCGGTGCTGAGGCTGCATTTCAATTGTTGCACCTTTGAGTCTCAAAGTGAGTAGGATCTTTTAGTCCCAGCTTCATCCTTCGTTGCCGTTGCTCTCGTTGTTATTTACTTATTGACATTCCAGCGAACCTTTCGTTCAATTGCTTGGGCAACTGGCCCGGTCCAAATGGGTCCACTTACTTCGCTCTGTTGGACAACAATGCGATTAGCGAGGGCAAGCCTCAATATAGATGCGGGGTAAGTTGAAAGCTGTGTTTCCCGCTAAGCGCTCCAGACGATTCTTGTTTACTCACGAGCCTAATTGCTTGCAGTTGTTCCACGTTGACAATATCAAAGGGAAAACGTATATGGCGCTCAGCAGCGACTCGAGTTGCACCCAGAATTTGAATAATTCGACCAGCGGATACGAGACGTTGGTGCTCAGCAAGGTGCCCAATCAGAAGAAGATGCCGAACTACGTGAAGACTCATGTAGCGACGTGAGTTGATTAGAACAATTCCAAGGTTCGTCCTGATTATGTGTAATTCCCAATCGTTCTCGTCATTTATCCAGATTTCCAAAATGGGCTCAAGGACTGTGGGAAGAGTCGCTTATCGTCAATGGTACAATGACTTTCACCGATCTGAACGGCTACAATAGTTACACTTTCATTACGGTCGACTCGAACGAAGAGACTGGTCGCTACATTGTTTATTCGAAGGATCAGTGGTAAAATGTCTTTAAGCTGTTTAAACGATACTTCTTTAGAGTTCATTCTTAATCATCTGTAATCTCATTATGCAACCTGTGCGAATTTCAGCGAGCAAGCGGCTTACTTGTGCTTAATGATGAGGCAACGAAGTGAAAACGTATTGGAATTCACAATAGGTACAATTTTTCACTGATCTTGCTATATGGTTGACAGAATTCAATATAAAAAATAATACATGTTTTTTGCAGGAATGGTATTAAGTCCTGTTTACAAGCCGTACTTATGCGACGATCCGAATTTAGACAAACCTGTGTGGATGACACAAGCGCGTCAGTATTCTCTTTAATTTTACGTGCCACGTTGTATTATTCTATTGTCGCTAATACATGTGAATAACGTTAAAAAACAGGAGTCGAACGCGCCGTGGAATCACCTTGTCCAATCACTGGCCAATACATGGGAATGATAACTGACCTGTCGGGAATGTGCGCCGAATTAAGTAGCAATTGCAACACTCGCGAGATAATGTACTTCAAAGTCACCGATTGCGAGTCCGGAGAACTTTACGAGGGTAAACGTTGAATCCGAAATGAGAACTTACACGAAAGTAAAGAAAACAGCGGAACGAACGTATCAAATGTTTCATATTTATTTCAGAACGAACGTACTTGTGTTTGGGACAGTGGGAAGAGAAAGGTGTCATGTACACGTACACCATGAGAAATGATACCAGCACGAACGAATGTTTTGTCGGGTTGATAGTGAACGACGAGGAAATCTACATCAAGGAAGCCGGAGATCACTGCATTCGAAACATTGATCCTAAAAAGGAAGGAATGCGCCTGTACAAAAAAGGTAACAGTATTTCAATGATGTATCATTAAACGCGAATCTCTATTTTCTTGATGCACTAACATCGTGCTGGTACAACTAGGTCAGTGTTATGGTAACTCCCCGAGTCCTGCGCCGACACCGATGAAACCAATTCCTCGTAATCCAATAATGAGAATTGCGACAACACCACGGTCTACGATATCAGGTATGACCTTTCTACCTTCACTTCTCTTTTTATCTACGTTCCACAGTGATATCATTAATGATTCTGTTGCAACAGAAACTGGCGGTATACCGGGAAACAATATTCCATCCTTGTCTTCCGGTAAAGCTAATGGATCATGCGGTTTTGTGATACTGGTATCGATACTTACTCTCGCTAAAAGTGTTTATACATATGTCTGAGTAAGTATACTGCCATTAGCGATAACGAGCTAGCGAATGAAATATTTTTGTGTGACCAATGCGAACCAGGATACCCTAAGAGTGCGTAGAAATCGTGTCATTCGATTAACTTGGATTAACTTTGTACTCGAATAGAAACTGGCTTCTACAAGAGGATTTACAAAATTGAATTTTCAGTTAGATCAACTGAACATGATCTGCGTGAATGGTATAAAATTTCAAATACCAAAAACTATGTCTACCATCCGTTTTACTCTTGATGATGCGTAGAATCACTTTTATAGATGAATAAACGTTACTAACTAACGACGTTCTCGCCAAACACTGCCTTGTAAGATACAAGTAGTAGGAAACTAAAAACTTATATCGCTAGGAGAATCCAAAGAACGCAACATCCAGTATCTGTTTTTAACGCATCGCTCATATTCTCTCTAATACTGTATGAAACTTTTTTTTAGTCGAATTTACTAATTACGTGGTTACAGCACAATTACTGCCACAATACATTAATGAAAAGACTATCTGTAATATACAAGAGATCTTACCTTTCCTTTGAATTTTGTATTTTTCATAGCAAGTAGGCTGTACAATACTTTGTGATTGCTTCACGGACAATTTAATCACGCAATTTTTAATACTTTACATTATTTTAATAACTAAATTATGAATATGAAGAATACCGAACACTGAATATAAAGATACAAAATTCAATAGAATGATCGAGTACGTGTAACTGTTCTTATTAATTAATAAATAAGACTGACTCTATTAACTCTATTCTATGAGGATAGTTCCACGTGAAAAATATTGCTTGATCGAACCGTTTCCGGTGGACTATTCCGTGCATTAGTAACTATAATAACTTACATTTAAATGCATTTAAATTTACATTGTTACTTATAGAAAAGAAACAAGACTATTTTATAACAAATTGTCTATTATAATACTGTTTAACAACGAACCCTGTAAAAAAAGAAACAAATATTTAAAGCAATATCATGTGAAAAAATCTATTTTATTATGTATACAACTTTACACTCATAGTAATACATATATAAAAGAAAACACAGAAAGTAAATTGTAATACTAATAGTTAAGGTATCATTACGTGTAATTATTTCTGTGATTTTTTCAAAAATTGTTTAACAATAGTAAGTTATATATACGTTACAGTTTGTATAAAATATTGTAAACAAATCTCATATTTATGATGCATGTAGGACTTTCATCTGCAAGTATTATATGAAATGGTACTTTTATAAAATACTTTTACGACTTGTTTTTATATTTATGTGTAAATGTATATACTGAAATATGTATTTGTAAACTTGGCGTTTCATTTATTAGCGTATAATTTTAATAACGTACTCGGTAATATACATAATGTAGATAACATTTTCACTTTCAGCGATAATCGAATATTTTTAGATTAATGTAAAATACTAAAATATACAAGTTTTTGCATTAACAATTTTATATATAACCGATATACCGATTATTATTTAAATATAAATACATGTACTTTATATTTTATACCTTTCTACTGATCCTCTAACTGGAATTTGAAAATATAATGAAAGAAATATTTTACTTGCAAGAGTTCAATATCAAATACATATGAAAAATTATAAACCATATAAAAAAAAACTCTTGCAGTTTATGGTAAAGAATACAGAAGAAACAATCTTAAGGGTATTGACATTCATGTGATATTATAGTTTCTTTGAGTTCTGTTCCCCATTTATACTTGTTACTGCCGGACTTTCCTACCACTCTATGGCATGGTACAAGATACGCAATCCTGTTTTTCATTACAGCATTACCAACAGCACGTACAGCTTTTGGATTGCTTATACTCAGTGCAATTTGCTCATAAGTTATTGTAGTAGCTTTGGGTACAGTTAATAAACATTCCCAAACTTTTATTTGAAATTCTGTACCCATCAAAAGTACTGTTAAGAAATCATCGACAAATGCACATGGAGAAAAAATATTGCGTATAATTTCTTCTGTTTCATTGTTAGTGTCTTCAACTAATTCGGACAGAGGCCAATTATTTTTTAAGTCCGCTAGTCCTCCTTCATCATTTCTATCAACAAACGCCAAATACAATACAGCTTTGTCCGTGTCCGTCACGCCAAGTAAACAATTTCCAAACGGTGACGAGTGAAAGCCGTAAATTATTTTAAAGCTTGCATGATTTTTTTTATATTCATCCTGCGTCATAGTTCGCGTTCGAACCATCGTATTATCAATTTTGAAACTTTTGTAAACTAGAACAATGAAAAAGCAAAAGATTTGAACATAAATATGCCATGAAATTAAATGTGCTATATCAAACCTTATGAATTGAACTGTTTAAAATTTATAATGAAACACAGACGTTCTGATATTCAAATAACACTCAATACAATGCTGTCACTTTCCCTCTACACGTAATGCGTAACAAATTAATCGATTCAAAGATGAGCTTATACATCTAAAACAGCGTAATACAAAAGATTGATTAAATGAAATCAATCGATCCATTTAGTTACAAATATTCGAGCAAATTGTTAGAAAAATAAAATTTCATATAAAGGATATTAATATTAATGATAATATTGATACAAAATTGTACCATGAGTTCAGCGACACCTTATAGATTTCCATAGCCTAAAAATTAGTCTAATAATTTATATCGTGCGAATAACACTTGCCATCCACGTTGTACTATACCATATAAATAGTAACAAAAATTATTTACTTTATCAGGTTTCTTCACATAAACCAGAGGTGTTTACATACTTAGCTTACTACCCTCAAAGTACCTCTACCAGCGTTCCCCTACTACCTCTACTCACACCTGCCTGAGACTATGTATGGTAGCAGTTCCACATATGTAACCTAGTGTTCAATACAAAACAGTTAAAAGTAGGTATGGAGATGGTAATTTTTCATGAAATTTTTCTCTTCAATGTAAAACGATGAACATTGATACAATGTAGATCCTTTTATTATTCTTTAACTTCACAGATTCTTTTAATTACATTAGTTTCAAAATATTTATATAATTGTATACAGCAACAAAAATATTTTACATTTTACATTAGAAATGTTGAAAAAGATATATTCTTTACTAGAGGCAACATTTTACCTCCCAACATGTTCTTCAATATCGTGAATGACTAAGGCTTCATAGTTTATATAAGATTCTTCCTTGCCATCTACAGGTACATAACATACTTGGTGGTTCGGTTGAATTTTTCCGATGTAATATGTACCTTCGTGCAGAACTCTCCCTATAAAGAGGGCATAGCCATCTTCCGATTCACCAGCAGGAAGTGCATTCATTGGAATATTGCCATCCCATGACTGTACCCAGCTTACATTTTCAGCACAGAGTACTTGAAATTCTTTTTTATTATAAGAAGTTCCACCCCATGCAATTGTACACATGCTATTCCTTACACTACCAGGTGTAAGCGAATCTCTATGATGGGTACGACCTACATACAGACCATCTTCTGAAGCAAGCGTAACATTTCGTGGAAGACCGAGCAATTCGTTATAATCTATCCAATAACTAGATGTATCAACCAACTGTTGTCTGACAACTGTACTGGTACACTGGGATTCTAAAATCAAAAAATACTCATTAGTATTTGTTCTTCGTTGTGAATCTGTACATTAAGTTTGAAAAGCATACCTTCTATGAAAAATTCACCAGTTGCACCCCATGCTGTACTGACTCCTATATAATTTATAACAAATGGATTTGGATCTTTATATGACATTAAAATTTCCCCATTCTGACGTCCCACATTCAGTAGTCCATCGCACAACCATCTATAAGTATTAAATCATACTCTAAGTAAAACTTGAAGTTGTGTCATTTTTCTAACTTTAACATTTGATTTTTTCATGTTATCTTATCTTTTAAACAAGGTATTAAAAGATTCGAAATTCTTACTGTATCCATAGATCACACAATTGTTCAGTATTTAATATATCTTTAGTTTCAGCCTCTGCAACACAAGGTTCTTTGCCATTTTTCTTTATCGCTGACATTGTATTTCCCCATCCTCCAATAACAATCTAAAAAGTATAAGATATAGTTACTTCCATTAAAAAGTTAAAAACAATCACAACTGTTTTCACAGTAATACCAAGATGTACCTCATATATATTAGAGTCTGAACCAAGGTGAGTACGTAAACATATTCTCGCATCATGACCAGCTTTTATACGTAAATTTATACGAGATCTGGTGGTGGGAAAATAACGATATTCCAAACTGTTCGGCGTTGTAGTACCAACTGAAAAAAACTGATGATAATGACACTCCTTTACATTCAATGTACTATTAAGCATAGATAATGGTAATGACTGCTACCATCTAAATTAACCATTATTTAAGATCAAGTAATACAACCTAATTAATTTCCTATATTACATTGTTACTCAAGCAAACATTTACACTACAATTATAAGATAAATTTATGAAGTGCTGTGCATCTTCTACATAACTAATGTTGTACAAATTTATAATTGGATTATTACTGATCTGTTCATTGAAATTAACGTATTTACTGTTTAATATACTCACGAAAGCACATGGTTATTTCTTTGGACGAATTAGCAATTTTCTGCTATTCCTTCGCGTGGCGGTCGTAAATGGACAACGAAGTAAACGTTTTCCACTTATTATAATTTGAACTCGGTACTACATCGGTTGGTTCGTAACAAGTTGTTTAACCTGGTAAAATATGAAAACAACAGTAGACATGATTTGTGGATTAATTAATATCGCGGGCGCGCATATATTATTGATACAATAACAATGTACCCAAGTGTCTGTTTTTTCACGGTACATTGAAAATGCACGCGGTACTATCACACTTTGACATTTTGAAGTAACAGCAGTCTGCGACAACTAATAGTAGAGAAATGAGTGAAACAAATTCGTAATTTCGACAACCAACAGCGAATGCAAGGATACACGTTAGAATGTTGAACGAAGTAATTTTTCGATTTCGTAATATTCGTCAACGAATCGCCCATATGACCTCATCGGTAAAAACCGATACTATCTCCCCGGACATATAACATTCCTCATACAAGATACTTTGACTTTGACTCTTTTAAGGTGGACGTTTTCAACGACTGCGCAGACAGCAATCTTCTATGTTTATCCGTATCATCGCTAATCGATTTTTTCAACATATTCGAACGTAACTCTTGAACACGCCTAAATTCTCTACTAGATTGCGAACAACTGTCAACTTAAATTAGCGATCGGAATCTGAAAAAACAAACGAAGTTTCCGAAAGCACCAGTCAAAATATATCCAACACTGCTATTGGAGGTTTAATTGGCGGCTCGACGATTATTCTGCGCATGCGCAACGGAAATAATTTTGTTGCGTACGTAGTACAATTTCGATCATCTGGCAAGGAGAAAATCAACATTTTCAGTTGAATCATGATTCCAAAACAATTGTGTGATGCCGTTCCAGGGAATATTAGATACACGGGGCATCGGCAACTGGTATTACCACATACCGGTCCAACTTTCGCACTAGACATCTTTGCAGCCTCGAAAGTGTAACGCACCTGTTCGTATGGCGCATTATTCCTTATTCAAAGGTACCGGATTCTTTAACAAATATTCCATATAGAAGAGTTACGTACTCGTATCGTCAGCAATTTTTTTTAAATCGTATTTACTATTTACTATTAACCCCTTGGCGTTACTATTTACTTTCGCTACTAAGCTCGTGTAATATTTCACTATCGACAGTGTGGAAGAAACGCAATAAAATTGTCCATTCTACTTCAACAGGAAATTTCATTTGAAAATAATACATTGATAATAGGAGAACAGTTTGTTTTGATCCGTGGGTAATGAACAACATTGATCGTTGTTAAGTTAGTCTAGAAATCTTCATCACGAGTCTCACTCATTGTACGGCAAGGGGTTAATGACAGTTCCAATGAAATTCGAGTTCGTACCATTTGAGAAAAATTACTTTGACAGAAGGGGACGACGCTTTCAATGATCCGCGAAGAACGCGACGATTTATATGCAACGACGTCAAAGAAACGTCCGCTCAGAATTAGTTTAAACTCCACTTTCCATTTTCATTTCACTTTCTTCGAGTTCTGCGCGTTGTCACGCCTACGCAATTTTTACCGATCCGCAACAATGTTCTGTTAGAAGAGAGCATAGTTTCCCAATGATTCAGTCTTTTGTACTGTTGATATCAGATCGACGAAGGAAACGATTAAACAACGGATCAGAATGACGGTCAGAGGTGTATGTACAAACATTTTTACCGACTGTACTCAAACAGGAAGTCCCCAAGGAAGAGTGCATCGACATGGAAATGGATCTCAAACTCGATCAGGTTATCCGAAACTACTTTCCAGCTTCTAATAAACGGTCATCGCTCAAAATGCAATTAAATTTCTCTAGGCCCGTCTTCGTTACCGATAGAGAGCCGAAGGGGCGGCTGTTCAGTGTCCTAGGTCATTGTCATTAACGTATTCAAGTTCGCCTGATTGTCTCGCGATCGGCGTACGTTTTAATGAGGTGCGTGTGTGGAAAGTAGAAAGCATTGCGAAAGATAATGACCAATGACAAGGGTGCATACACGCACTGCGTCATTCCGGCTTTCATGTTTCAACATAACGTACAATCATTCTTTCCTGATCCACATACAGCGCAGTCTTCCTTCCGTTTTCAAATTGTTATGAACTTCACTATCCTAACCTTTTTCCTCGTTTTTAGATCCGTCGAAGCGTATCTCTAGGAAAATTGCACGTTGCACTACGAGGGATGTCCCATCAAAATGATTCGAGTCGAAAGGTTTCATTTCGGCAATTCACATGGCAGATCCAACTTCGAAGTGAGAGTGAGAGAGAGTGTGTGTTTGTAAGAGACAGAGAGAAAGAGAGAAAGAGAGAGAGAGAGAGACTTTCTTTCGAACGAAAGGTGATTTGTATTCACGGTACTCGTGCATTTTATGCGGGATGTGAATCGAGCCTCGTATACTCTTTCCGATGTTTACGAATTTCGATCTCTCAGTGAGATCTTCTCGGGCATTTTCTATCGGCGCGCTTTAAAATAGGAGCACGTCGGGTTTTAAGTAGGCTACCCTTAAGGAGCCGTTCCCACTGGCGACCACGAAAACAGATCTTTCTCTCTCTATAACACGAGAATAATAGGTTTCCAGCGATTACAAAATAGAAAACAGTTTGTATCTTCGATCGGTTCGCCTGTCGAATTTAGAGAACAAACGTCGCGTTACCATTACAACAATGAGGTCGCGTGAGAAAACACTGTAACGAACGTTTGCCATTTATACAGTGCCATTGTGTAACAGGAATTATTTAATCTATTTCTATTTATACTTTACGCCCGCTTTCGGTACGTTTCCGTTACTTTTACTCGTTTCGACGTATATTTCTCCTCGCTGTTTTCCATTTATTTCTGATGATGCGTAGTGCACGGTTGATTTGTTAATGGCCCGTAATCGCGTCGGCCTCGCGTTAAGACATAATATTATTCATTTTCCTTTCTCGAACGAAAGTTATCCATGCACCGTGAACAAATATTTCTGTTAACCTTGACAATGGTAATGCATAGAAATCGGGTCACCGTGCATACGAAAGGATATCTCGATTAAATTAATTATAGTCCGAGAAGTAAAAAGCTTGAAAGTAAGGTATTATGAAGTAAAACTATGAAAGTATTAATCGCAGCCTATATTCTTCTAGAAGGAGAGAATTTTGAATTGCAATAGCGTGGGACTTTCAGAGATCAAGGGGGCGCGTGACAGGTTCGGTGCAACCTTGAAACCAGTATTTTGTGAAAGGGACACTTTTCTATATCTATTAAAAAGTTTAATTACTGTTAGGTAGGTCATGCTGCTCATAGTTCACTATGAATAGTCCGGCACACAACTGACCCATTGCTTTCCCCGTAAAAGTGAAGAGTTAAATCAGGTTGACTCTTTCTCCCTGCTCTGTATGGTCGAGTACCAACCAATGTCCTATCAGTATGTGCACATCAAGATCGCTTTTACCTTTTTGCGAGCGAGGAGGGATTCCTAGGAGTATAAAACCGTAAGGAGCAGATTCTCACGCCAGTATATGTGTAGTTTCTATTTAGCAAGGAAACATTAGGTTCGCGGTTTGTAGTACGTAGCACGTCTTGTAATCCAGGACCTCCCCTGTCATGGCGAAAAGAATTTCGCTCGTGAGTACCATCGAAATTACGTTTCATCTTATTTATCGTCCCAACTCTAAGTTACCAGTTGATTTCATTCATAATTGTATCTATACTATCGTGTGTTGATTATACGTTTTGTCAAAAATCAATATTTCCGAAAAGCATTGTTTATTCATAAGTTTGCCCGCGTAGAATAGTTCGATTATAAAGATTAATTTTTTTACGGTGAAACCGTTCCTCTTTTAGAACGTGATAATCCTCGGCAGTATCTTGTTAGCACGCGCGGAACCACCGGTCACGAGTATGTATTGTTAATATCGTTGTATGTCATAATTATTGTTGAATTTATAAAAATATACAAATGTCCTGTGCCTACTGCAGGCTACTCGATCACAGGGGACAATGCCTTTGACTATAACAGTAACGTTATCAAAGATGGTCATAGAGAAAACACAGATTTTTACTCTGGCGGAAATAGCGGTCACTCCCTGAGCAATGTCAGAAGCCAAAGTAGTCTGGAAGACAGTTTAAGAAGTAACTCCTACAGTGGATTTTCACAAAATTCTCATAACAGTGGCTTCCAAGGATTTTCCAGTAATGCTCGTGATAATCTTGGTGCAAGTTCTTATTTTGTGAATGATCCTGTTCAGTCTTCCTTTGAGGGTTACACAAATAATAATAACAATGCAGATTCGACCTTTGCTGGATATACTCAAGGTGTAGATCAAATGGGATCTGATTTCAATCAATTCTCCAGCAATAAACATAAAAGTCCAAGCTATATGAGATTTTCAGACAATTTACCTGGAGCTTCTAACACAGGAAGCTTCCCTGAACTCACTTCTGAAAGTTCTTCCTTCAGAGATTATTCTGCAGATACTCTCAGGGGCCACACTGCTGGAGGATACATGGATGGTGACCAAGCCTTTAATAGAGAACCTTCTAGTTTATTTAATGGCCCTACAACCACTGATTATTCTTATGGAAAACATAAAGAAGGTCTGTTTGGATCAGGTAATAGTAATAAGTATGCAAATGATGTGTACTCACCTCATCCTGAAACACGTTATGTCCGAGGAAATCATGGAAATGGAGGAAGGGATTATGGGTCTCCAACGTATTTATCAAGCTCTGGTAACAGCTTTATTGCTAACTTAAGAGGAGGTTCTGATCTTTACAATTCAGGAAAATACACTAAATATAACAAGTACTCGGGAGATTATACTCCTAACACTGGCTCAAACTATCTTTCAAAAGATCAAGAAACCGATTATTCGCTTGGTAATTATGGAAAAGGAAAAGTAACAGCGTTTAAAGATAGTAGGCCAAGTAGTTACAGTACTCAAACTTATCCTGGAGGACCATCATATCTAAGTAAAATTGCTGGAGGTTACAAAATTAAACCAAATTACATGAGTTACCCTAGCAGCTCTTCAGTTGGATATTCTCCCATGCCAAATGTACATGGTAATTTTAATAGCAATAGCTACACAGATAGTCCCATGCTTAGAAGATATCGAAGTAGTAGTGGATACATACCAGGATATGGAAATATATATGCTGGATATTATTAATGATCCTTGTGTGACAGATGTGATGAACATGTTATATTTTGTACATATTTATTGTATGAGTATTTAAAATTAATTATAGATATTACTGTTTATACGTTGTTTAAAATAAAATTATTTGAAAGATATTACGAATATTCACGTGTCCAACCTTTTGTTATAAAAATTATTAGAAAAATTTAATATTAATTCTGGTGGAGTTCGAGGAAGCTTTGGTTTAGTTTGAAATGCATCTTCTGTATCAAGTTCACTCTCCTGGGTGTAAGAAGTATTATCAATTGTAACTTTGTTGTCATTACAAACATTCCTATAAAAAGTCTAAGTTTTAACAATATGATTAGATTAGATTAGATTAGATAGATGATTAGATTAGATACAATTAGATTAGAAAATTGCTATGAATAAACTATTAAATTTATTTTAATAAATACACTGTATAAAAATATTAAAACATTTATATAAAAATATATAATTCTCCATGATTCTAAGATGGTGTGATGTGCATAAACATCAAAATTGGTGCATTATTTTAATATTATTATCTTGACTTACAATGATGCTATACTGCTGAGTTTATCCATAACTGAAAAATGTAAAAATTAATAAAAATGATATAGAATTCTTATATGTTATTAATTATAAGTAATGAAGAAAATTTTTTCATTGCCCCTGAAGCAATGCAACCCTGTATACAAATCGTACTGCCGTTTAATAAAAGTTAATTCAATTTGTTCGGAAAGTGTTTGAAGTATAATTGAATGCATGTAGCTTAAGACTGTTACTTTTATTCACCTGTTCCGATTTTCCCAAGATTACGATCGAATGTAGCTAAAAGAAAGTTACAGAGCTTTCACTATTTGCAGCTTATTCTGTAAATAGCTTTCTCAATTGACGTGTCAAACATATTAAAAGTACTAAATGGTTAGATGTTTTTAAACAACATATTATTATTTATTGTAGTTCTGTTTTTGTAAAAATAACAAAATAACATACATAATCTCACCTCTTGAATCAGTTACATTTCCAACCTCTAAGGTCATTGAAGACTCAAGTGTTATTTTACTATTTTTCCTACAGAAAAATATATATACTTATGTGAAATTTAACTTTACTATATTATGATTGCTTAATAAGGATGAAGCAGTAAATATTTTATTCTTAATAATACTTTGATAAATATATTATTATACCATAATAATACCTTGACAAATTTTGTTCATTTGATACTGATGTATGTTCATAATGTAAACTTCTAACTTGTTCTTCATTATCGTGTACTAAAGTATATGACAATGTTTCTGAATTCATTTCCTTGTCCTGACTAGTTTTTAATACTGTAGCATAACAATATGCAAGCAATGTTTCTCCACATAACTCTCCATAGTTAGATTTTATAGGATCATTTTCTTCTAACTCATTTTCCACCACATCAAATTCTTCCTGAAGAAACATATTCTATTTAAGCAAGATTAAACAAATCAATGTATAATTCATTACTTACACTATCATTGTCTACAATGTCTTCAATATCTGTTTTAATGGTAATTTCACCCCTGTGTATTTTCAAGATATGTTCTAGATGCTCCCTATTATTTACATTATTATTAAAATTTAAACATTTTTAAAGTAATACAAATTTTATTTAGTATGTTAATAAAATTTACCTTACTTCACCATCTTTGTGTTTGTTATATTGTTCTAATAGGGATGAAAACTCCATCTTCTTACTTTCTTCATTAATGGTGTGATTTTTCAAAAAATGATTTAATGCCCCAGTAATATACAGTAAGGTCTAATATGCACACAATCAATATTAAAATCATTAACACTCTATTGTCCACAAAATAAAATAACTAATCTAACATGTACTACTTACAGAAGAATGATCTGTTAGGAGCAAGTCAGTTAATGTTGATATAAGTAAGGATGCCAATGTAGATGCTCTTTTTTGAGCAATTGGGTGCAATGATAAGTTCATTAGTAGAGCTGTAGCATACTCTAGTCGATAAGAATTCATAACACAGTAATAATCATGTAAATGATGTATTAACCATTCTACTAATCCATTTTCTATCATATATATTCTTTGTTGTTTACGTAACGATAATTTTTGCAGCACAGCAATTATCATGTTACAAGTAAATGTGTCTGTATTACTGTCACTATTTAGACACTTGAATACCTACATAATTTATTTCATTAGTTCATAATTTTGAATAACAATATAATATAAATAACGTTTTTAACAATTGAACATACAACATCAATAACAGTAGAATCGAATGACAAATAATCTCGTCCACATCTAAACGATGCCAATGCATTTAATAATCTTGTAGTTGACTGTTGCAATGGATGGGACATACTAACATTGTCTGGAGTTAATAAATATGGTAAAATAGATATACCCTTATACGTTGCAATTTGTCCATAGAGCCCTAGAAGGTCTTTACTTATATATTCGTGCACAACTTCCTCTCTTTCTCCAGGTTGACCATACGTTATTTTCTAATTGAACAACGCATACTTGTTTTAAAATTTTCAATACTATTAAGTAAGAATGTACAAATATCCTACTAGTCTTACCTTCCTTAGTGCTTGCAAGAGAAGCAACTTAGTTTTAATGCTCCCATTTATCAAGTGTAACTTAATCTTTTTAAAGTTCAATAATTTTGGAGGTACAGGTGTGATACATGGTACAGATAGTTCAAGCATTTTCATCTCAGAATGAGATTTATCTATCAATACTTCTGAAGAACACTGCATGTATATAATAGATAATAATATAATTGCAAGCATATACATGAACACCAATATAACTGTTACTTACATATGAGTTGTCTTTTATATTTTGATTAAATAAATCTGGAAAAATTTTAATGCAAGTTTCTAGCATAGCTTGAAAGTTAATAGATTGGCCCTTTACTGAGTTTTCTAAAACAGTTGTTAGGACCCTTGCAATGCTCATTAATTTATGATAATCAGCATGCAGTTTATGAAACCTCCTCTTTAATTTTTCATAATTGGAATAAACAGTACATAACTGAGACTTTGTTACAGCTAATTCTTGAGTGCATTGCACTAACTTTTTATGGTTACTAGCCAAATGTGACAATTGCAAGTCTTCTTCTGTAGAAGAGATTGTTGATACTGTCTGCACACTTCTATAAAAAGAGTAATGTGGTGTAAGTATTGTAAAAAATACATCAGAGTTACTACTTACTTTGACTTTTGAGTATACTTTGCATCATCAGATAAAGTATATTGCTCATTGCGTTCAATGTCATCTAGAAATAGTGGAATGTTTCTATCATTTGCTATGATTGGTACATTTTTACGTTCAGATATTTTTCGAGCAACAGAGTCTTTTTGTATGTCATCTATTACAGATCCTTGATCTACAGATTGGCATTTTTTTGAACTTGTATCAGTATACCTTTCTACTCTGAAATTCTTAAGACTTAAGAAATAAGTAAATAAGTAATTAAATAATAATCATGCTTAATATAACTAATATTTTATTTACTTGTTGTTGGCATTCCTCAAGAAAAAGTAGTAAACTTTCTGTTAGTTCAGTGATCCAACTTTCTTCAAACACTTTAGACAGACTTGGTTCTGCATTTGGTTCCTCGATAAAAGGTAATGCAAAGAAAGGTTGTAATTCTATATCATCCTTCAATTCCTTGCCAGTTGAGTTTAAGAACATACATAACTGTCTCATACTCTGATACATCTCTTTTTCTATCTCATTTATAGAATTCTATATATTATTAATAACAAATCAATTATTAAACGTGTACTTTTTATGATTTAAATACAATTAATACTCAAGTTACACTGTTAACACATTATAATGTGTCTCATGAATAACTAAAGTTACCTCTTGATGCTCAGAACCATGATGATTTAATGATGTTAAAGAATTAATTGCATTTGTCTGTGTTTTGTCTGTACAATTATAAAAATAAAAATTACTATGTAATTAATTATATCATTATATTATTTCAAGGAATGTTTTATTATTTTTACCTTGTTCATTGCAACAATGTAAGAGCATCCTACGTCTAGGTAGCATTGCAAAATACACGTGTAGATGTAGTGTTAATATCTTGTATGTTTTAGTTTGTTTAACATTTTCAGGTATTGATGAATTCCATACCTGAAGACAATTAAGTTTTTAAAAATTACATTACAAAATTAATTCCTAAGTTGAGATTGTCTTACACTGAAAAATGTTCTCCAGTCTCCTGTTTTAAAGCTCAACAATAACTGTTCAGGAAAACTTAAGTAGTCCACATCCTTTTTTGAAGCATTTGGAAAATTTTTAAATCCCTTTGATGTAGCTTCAGTTACTAATGTCTCAGCAGTATTTTGAAGCTTATGATCTATAAGAAACTACACAAAATGTTTAATTATCTGAAATCAAACATCTAAATACATGTTTAGTTTCATCCTATGTATGTATCTTGAAAATATACCTGATGTACAAATATCAAATTTTTATTATCCACTTCATTTATTGCGCAATTCTTATCCATTTTTCCTTTTTTCTGTTTTCCAAACGATATTGAAATGGTGCATTAAATTATTTTCGTTGATGTATATTTCTAAAAGTTGTCGATTTTACCCAAAATAACATGGTGGATATTTCTTGAGATAAAATTGATTTTATGCCCATTGCTTAAGAATTCATAGCACCTTCATTTGCATATGTAGTAAATACATATTGTCTACGGTAACTTAGAAGATATCCCAATTATTTATCTGATAAAAATAATTTACTACTCAAATAATAACTTTATTGTCGTTCAGTTAAATATTATTTACAAGCAGTACATTAATTTGATCATTTTAAAAGCTGTTTACCAGAAAGTAGGTTACCCTTCATAACTGATTTATTTGAAAAAATTATAAACATATTATTTATATGGAAAATCTTGTTTAAAAGAATCTCGTTTTTCAAACACCCTGTATACATTTGTTTGTTTACATAGTTCAATTACCTGCGACGTGGCGCTGCGTTTTTTTCATTAAAAAAATACATCGTTTATCAAAAATTTTATAATTGTTTGCATAATTATATCATTTTATTTAGGTATAACGAAATGGAGAAGTATAAAAAAAATGTGGTTTTAGAGGTTTGTTTTGATACGATTAACATTTACTACACAGGTTATATACTATTTCCATGTTTTAATATTTTATTCATTGTAGATACCAAATTTAGCGATCTATGTACCAAACTTTATAACTGAAGAGGAGGAATTAGAAATAATGAAATATGTTAATAATGCTCCATTACCAAAATGGAACCAGTTAAGTCATCGTAGGTTACAAAATTGGGGTGGTATTCCACACCCCAAAGGTATGATAGCTGAAGACATACCAAGTGTATGTATCTTATAATACATTTGTATAATATAAGTGTAAATATTATATAAAAATCACTTTTACAAAGAAGCATATAAGATGATATAAAAAATCTAAACTAACAATAAGTTTTCAGTGGCTTCAAAAGTATATTAACAAAGTAATATCCTGTAATATTTTTGAAACAAGTAAATTACCTAATCATGTCCTGATTAATGAGTATTTACCTGGTCAAGGAATAATGGTATGTAACAGGCCATATACTTCTTATTATTAACGTAGTATAAACTAATCAGTATACAATAATATACAATATGTACATTTATCAGGCACACTCAGATGGCCCACTGTTCCATCCTATTGTAACAACCATTAGTTGTGGATCTCACATTCTCCTTGATTTTTATGAACAACCAGAAAACTCAGAGGTCATAACAATTACAGTATATAAAACTGTTTTAAATATACTGCACCATTTATTTCTATAAAGTATTTTCAATGCTTTTTTCAGATACAACAACGTAATTTGGAATTCAGTCTCCTACTGGAACGTAGAAGCCTGTTAATTCTTCAAGGAGATTTATACCATCATTACTTGCACTCAATTGCAGAAAGGAACACAGATGTTATTTCAAAGTCTTTCATAAAGAATTTAGATTTATGTAGCAATCAGTTATCAGAGAGACAAATATTAAAACGAGACACTAGGCTGTCATTAACAATCAGACATGTTCCTAAAACTACTAAATTGAAATTAAAAATTGGGTAATGTGATTAATTGTTCAATTAAGAATATAGATATGTATTTTTTATTTGTATAATATTTACTGTCAATCCGTTTTTGTTTTTTAACACTGTATAAAATACTTTGGTGGATAATGAAAGTTGATTGGTTTTGTACAAATGAAACAGTTATGTGAAGAAAATAATATAAATTTATGCACATAATATATTTCCATGTCATGAAGTTTCAGATTTACAAGGCATGGAAGTATCATTGTCCTCATAGTTCTCTAGACTCACATCCATTATTTCTTCATCGCATTCATCCAACATTCCTTGTAAAGAATGTATAGAAGATATTAGTACATGAAATTGTTTGCGCCTCATTTCCAATTTGTGTTCTAATTGTTCAGATTTCTCCTACAGATTAAATGAAGTATTAATTTTTTTGATTTTATTAAGAGAAAATTTGTCATACCTTCAGTTTGCCTAATTCTTCGCGTAGGGTTGCAAGCTTTAAATTTGTTTCCACTCTATCTGGTTGCTCATTTATAACTTTTGCTAACACATCATACTCGATTCTATTCTTTCTTACACGTTTTGCTTCCTGTAGTTCAGCCTTTGTTTTCTCTATATCGTTCTTGGCTTCTTCTATTTGAATTTCTATCTCTTTTGATAATTTCTCGTATCTCTTTAATTCATCTTGACTCATATTTGAGACCAATCTAGACTTTCTTTGTGCAAATTCACACTGGGCAAGTTGTGATAACATTCTTTCATGCAACGTGTTGTCTACATCAGGATTGTTTACCCATTTTATGAATGATTTCAATAACATATTTATCCTACGATCATCCCCGGTTCCATCTCCATCGATGAGTAATCTTCGACGAATTACTTCCTCTAAAAAAAACATAATATATTACTTCTGTTCTAAAACATCAAAATAGGTTATATTTCTCAACTCACCGTCAGACATTTTATAAAAATATAAATTCAACGATGCAATATCACAATATTTATTGCAATACAATGTGTTATTTGTTTACCATTGATATATACACTGACAATTATCGAAACCTATGTATTTATACATAAATAATCCGAGCATATTTTTTCGAAGAGAAGGGATGCACTTGTTTCAAAGAAATTTGATACTTATTATTTCTGTTATATCGATAAATTAAAAAACAGGTCATTTGCAGATTACTTAAGGATACAAATTATGTAATTAAATACAATAAATGAAAGAAAATTGGTCCAAATACTATAAACCGTATAGGTTGATCGTGTTTGCAGTGGACTGAGTACTGCAGAATTGAATGAACCCTTCATTTTCCTACAAAAAAAATATATGCATGTTTGAGATCAAGCAATGGGGATCAATGAACAATCTACGCAAATAGCTGAAATGGTTTGAAAAGTTTGTAAACACTGAATATTTAATCAATGTTAGTTGACCATCAAACGTTAGTCGTTTGAAATTGTATGAAGCAGATATTCTGCAAAGAGAAGTTAACGCTGAAACGAGTACTTTTCGAGATCAATTATTTCGATATATTTCGATCAATTCACATTTGAATCGGACTACAGCGATTTGTTTCGTTCATTACAATTGTTTGCTTCCTTAAATTCTGTTGAAACGCAATTTAGGATTCGAATAACAGCAATACATTTTGCGAGTACAAGCAACTTAGCTTAATAGATACGCATCGTTGGATCGATCAGACTCGAAAACCGTTTGCAATACATTCAGGTATACATGTACGTATGTATAATAAGCGTGCTGTGATGTGTAAAAAGACGGAATTGATTAAATCCACTTAGGAGATAAAAATACTACAAAGTTGCTTTATAAAATGTAATTGACAATATATACGAACTATCCAATTAGAATATTTCCCCGTAAGCAATGAAATCACGTCAGCTGGATGATTGCAAGGATCTTAATACAATATAATAATCAAACGTAATCTTCTTGCCGCGTGGACAAATAATTACTGCAATGATAAATCGTCATTTCATTTTCGTACGCTGGTAACGTATAACCTATTATCGTTAATTCGCGTAAATGTTACAGGCGTTCAAATAAAAACGGAACAAGTATAGAAGTATCTCGTTAAAATGGAAGAGCTTTCATGAAAATTCTTGCAACCATTGAAGAGTTCCAACTATGCAACGTAACACCGACGTAACGAATAATCGGAATTTTGGCAATTATTGTGTCGTGGGTTAACATCATCGATCGGTGTCGGTGGAAAACGAGTGTATTTACAATAGAGACGGTATTTACACGTCGAGAGGGATTCAGCATTTTCACGTACATATACTCGTGATTTTAATCCTTGTCCGATCAACGATCATTGCCTCAGAGACCCTACGAAATCATTCGTACAATACTTTGTGTATTTTTACGCGCGACCAACACTTAGCGTACCAAACCCGAATTTCATTATTGTCTGATTATTGTTTTCCTTTGTTCATCGTATTCTGGATTTTTAGATGTTCGGCAATCTCAGCTTCTACAAGGATTAAAAGCACATTTGAATAATTCGGTGCTTTGGTGCGACACAGTAGAAAACGTTCAAGGACGTACTCGGAAGTTTCGTTCTTCTACTTAGAGCGGAAGAAAAAAGTATTCATGAACAACTGTCCCATGGTATTGGTAAAAATATTATTTTTAACCCTTTGCACTCCAAGAGTTTTCTACCAAAAATACCCAACATTTTTCGATGGAATATAATTAATATTTCTTGAAACTGGCTTCACGAAAAATCGTATATAAATTGAAGAGGCTGTTTTATTTTAATATTTCACATATTAATGAACATCACACGAAACTTAACATTAAATATTGTACTCCATAATTTTTCTGTGCCAGATCGAGTGGTGACTGAGAGGAGCCTATGGAGTGCAAAGGGTTAATTATAATAATATTATAATTAATATATATTATAATTTTTATTATATATATAAATATATATATATATAAATATATATATATATAAGAAGAGAATACTGAAGAGATTGAAAGTCATTAGTCATTTAGAAATAATCGGGTTAAACGAAACTTTTCTGGAATAGTCTGGTAAAAACGTTTCACCTAACAACCTATAGCTTCATGGTTTACCACAGAAGTTCGCGTATGCATACTTTTCTCCTCGCTGCATAGAAATTCTACTTGTGTTTCAGAGATCTTCTTGAAGGCTGGTAATGACGCGGAGGAACATTGTTAAACAACGTCGACTTAACTAAATTTCCATTGCATCGGACTCTCGTTACCGAATCTGATTCGTTTCATTTTTGTATCTTGCCATTTAGGTTCGTTACATGTAAATTACTCCTCACGCAAACCTCGGAGCTACCGGAGGAATGAAATCGCGACGAAACTTATGGTACATGCGACAAGGTATCGTGTAACGGGAAGGCATTGCATTTCTTACAATCCGTTTCTGACTTTCACCAATGATACTACTCTTTAGGATGGAAATGAAATCCTCGCAGAACAGTCTTTGGTATGCAACTTTCAACCCTTTGCACTGCAGAAGTTTTTCTACTGGAAATATTCAATCTTCTGATGAGATGCAGATAATATTTTTTGAGATTGACGAGAAGTTGCACCGAGGAAGGAAACTATTTTCTTGCGATATTCCATAATTGATACGTTATACAAAGTTTAATTAACACTTAGGCGACCGCTTAAAAAATATTATAACTACCTCTTCCATTATATTCAATTGAACTCATTCAATGAATTCAGTTAGAAATTTTGTAAAAACAAGAACCGTATTTGATGAACTGCAAATAATCCCAGTTCAAGACTCACTAAACAACAAAAGAACCACCTCGGTTGGCCAAGTGTTAAACATCAAACTTTACAGTGTCGCTGTGTCTAATCATTTAGAGTGCAAAGGGTTAACGCCTTTCAATCGCCATTTGATTTGACCGAACAAAATGATCAAATTTTATATAATGTATCGACACATGGAACATCGATATAAACTAGTTCTGTCACTTAATTTATACAAGGTATTTCTCTATGTTAGTTGTAAAACATACCATCGACATTTAATCAGAAAATAATGAATATTTATTGAGAAAAATATTCTCGAGTGCAAAGGGTTGATTCTGCGTCGGAACCGATGTCAGCGGCTGGAGAAGTTTCTTTCGTTGTAAACGGTGGAAGGAAAATGCGTCACCTTTCCAAGCAGCGTGTGCCATTTCCGAGAATCACGAAACACATACCAGGTTCTTTATACAACGGAAATTAGGTAACTTAAGTTTCTTGTGACCGGTTAACACGTTAAGTGCCCAGCCCGACTTGCTTGTCGTTCCGTTCAGGCCCAGACGCGGCCGTCGCCACTGACGGACGAGCCGAAATATCGGCTTGAGGAGCGGAGTTTTCTCAATGCTATAATAATAATTCCCGAATATCAGGTTCAAAGGTGGCAAAGAATTTAACACAAAAAGTTAGCACCTTCTGCAATGAATGTAAAAGCAAACCACACCTCTCTTTACCCTGTTTTAATAAACTACATTAACTTTCTTTAAATATTATATTCTTTTTTTTCAAGCCTTGAGTGAACAAAAACCGATGTCGCCTAAGGAAAATATTTAGTCTCACATCAGTGCGTAAGGACCGACACGCGCGGTCGTGTAATATGAACCCAAAGGGACCGGCGTGGCGTTTAACGTGTTAAGTAGAAACGTTCGCTGCATGGTTCGCACATTATGCACGTGCCTGTATTATGCTTGAAAATGTTGAGCAAGTTTCGTGTTTGTACCATTCGATGCGGTTACAGGTACAAAATCTAAGGACAGTTCAGCGACAGTAGCGGCGGAATCGATGTCGACGAGGCGCTCTCTAGCCGCGGAGTACTCGTCGCGGCCTGCCAACGAGATAACAAGTGATCAAAGCTAGCGCGAAACGTTATTCGAACTCTCTAAGTAATAGTCGACTCATGGAGCGATTACAATCTACACGACGACCTTTACGAATATTATTCCGATTCGTTGTTTCAAATCATCCCGCACGAATGTTTCGGTGCGCAGCGAACCAACTTACCCGAGTTACTCTTCTAATGCGAATGTTTCGACTCGAATGCCGGTTACATCGGATTCAGGGGCATTCGAGAGATCGGATCGAGTAATTTTCTTCGGCAACCGATTCGATCGAAATCGTTCACGTCTTAACACATTGAGCGCCGGCGATTTAAGAGACATTTAACACGTTAAGCGCCACTTAAAATCTTAAGCGTTTTCCCATAGAGTTTGTCTTTTGTAACAAAGAAAAGTAGGAATACTTATGAATTGTTTGGCGTTGCAACGTTTGCGTTACACCATTATCAATTTAGTTGCTTTATTAAACATTTTTATTTCGCATCGGTTGTCTTGTATGTTATGATTGTTTTTTAGTCATTCAGAACGTGTTAAAGCCTGAGGCTTCGTTCGCTTTTATCTGATCGATGAGTAGCCAAAAAAAATATTCAAAACATACATTTTCGTGAAATAGTACATTTTAATTATTCGTCAAACCCAGAAATGGAAATCCAGAAACCCGCATTATTGCAGGGCCGGCGCTCAATGTGTTAAAAGTGTACTCGAATGATTCTCACCGCAAAACGCAACGGGCCGACCGTGAACAGCGATCATTCGCGCACGCTCGTTATTCGCCGGTTTTGCAGTGACAACGTGAAGAAGCATCATCTCCTTTCGAACAGTCTTAAATGCGTCTACTGCTTTCTCGCCTTAAGATTTAAGAGTTAAGATTTAAGCTACCCCCTATACACACAATTTTATACAATTAGGCATTCGTTTGGGCTTCATTGTTCGTTTACACGTTAAAGATAACTCGAAGACCAAACCGTTAACTACCTCTATATATACTTGCAACGATGCGACCATCGTCTACGCAAATGTCATCAATTAACAGTTCAATTAGAGAACCATCTACCGCTCGGTTTATCTTTAACGTTAGACGAACAATGTACACTGTTGATCATTAGACTGCGAACGTTATGTAAATACAGACGGTTCGAAGAATTTCAATCAAAGGAAACAAGTCGCACTCGTCAACGTCACGAAACGTTCGACCGTATTTCGACCGTGAGAACCAAGGATATGTATCCGCATGAAATTCGCAGTCTAAGTGATTCGCCTCGATCCGCCTTCGGACGTGTATATCAAACGTTCGTTCTGCTTCCGAATCACGATGCATCGTAGATCCTACCACGGATTTGGCGTTGTTCTCTGGAACGTATCCGCGTGATATGGTTCGCTTTTTATATGGTCCGTAGAATTCCGTGTTCGACGCAGTAAGTGGTGCGTGGATAAGGCCCTAAATATACAGGGTGTAAAAAGAAACGTATTTGTCGTGATTCCGAAGACTCGAGATCCGAATTCCCGTTCGTCGTTCCAACGTGCACCGTTCCACGGACGCAATGTCGATGAGGAACTATCGTTTCCCTTCGTCGTAAACTGTAAGAGCGAGAGATCGTTAACATATCCGTCGAGTCGTTGCGCTTCTGTCGTCCGAGTTTCGTCGGTGAATTTCAAGAGGACAAATATATTTATTTACACTCTGCATGTGAAAAGTTTAGTAAAAACGTTCGGCAGTACTGACACAATAGACGCGTGCGAATCGCTCGTCGATGATCGGTATACTCGTTCGTATCGCCCGTTCAACTTAAAATTCCTCGGACGTCCGCGCCGAGCTCGTTCTAGGCTAACTGTAAGTCTGAACTCGTCTATTCGCCTGCTAGTTTCTTTGTACAACAGGCGTTCGCGTTCTGAAACGGCAACGGATCGACACGCTCGTGCCTTTGCGAATCAGTCGTTGTTCGAATGGAAATCCGTCGTGATTCTAAGTTGAACGGGGCCAATACAGGGTGTCCAACCAAATGTTCTCGCGTCAAACGCTTCGTTCGCTGGAGTTCCAATCGAATTTCGTCTGGACCGTTTCGCGTGACTCCTAATCGTTCTGAATGGCTTTGAACACAGGTGGTTGAACTTGCCATGTACTTCACGGTGTTAACCCTTTGCGGACGAGGGTTCTTAAACATACGGAACCTTCAACGTATGAAGCTAAATGATCGATTGAACACGTTCACGCCGTGTAATTTCGTAATTATCTTAAATTCTCAAAATTGATCGAAATATTGAAATGATCAATAAGTGAACTAATTCTCAACTATATGGCAATGTTTTCTAATTACCAAACCATTCGACGAGCCACGTATTTCATGCTACACGTCTAACGAGCCATCAGTGGTAATTGTCTAATGTGATATCTTACTGTGAGCCACCGGTGGTACACGGCGTGAACGTGTTAATGGAAGAAAGGAAGCTACGTTCTGATTTGCTCGCGAGGTAGTCTTCTAAATACGATTTCGTCTTACCAAAACGCCGACGTCCGTCCGTAAAGGGTTAAAGAGTTATATTTCTATAAGGAACAGGTCAACAGCTTCTCATCAGCGAATGGAAGCCTGCAATACGTTGCCGTTGACGTAGCCATCAAATATTTTAGACTGAATCGTGTTCGAATATTCCACGTGCAGGGAACACTTCAGACTTAAGGTGTTCGAGGCGGAACACCCTGTATACGGTTGCGGTTTGACTCAAGATTTCTACTCCAATTAGATGTGTCCTCGTGATTCCTCGTGTCTCGCGTAATCTACGGTTGCACGAACGATTCTTAACCAGTTAACTGTGTTCGACGAGTATACACGTCATCGTAAAGCTTGATACTAATTCTTTCAGCGATGAATTCTTTATTTTCTCACGTAAACGTAACTCTTCTTTGTTTCGCTTTGACCTTTCATTAACCCTCTATGGGCCGAATTTTTGTTCACAATTATAACAGAATCTATGCAGTACAAAATTAATAAATACCCACGTATGACCACAAATTAACAATGTATTCAATACTTTCAATAATTTCATCGAACGAATACATTTTGTAACTTCCAAGTTAACTTACGCCTGAGTGTATGAAAGTTTAAGTGATTTTAAGTGAAAGTTTAACTGATTACTTAATTTTATTCACTACTCTGAGCGCAGAATGAAATAAATCAACAAGATGCCAATGAACTGATATGTCATTTCAAAGTTACATGAGCCTGCACGCGCCATTTTATTTCATTGCGCGCAGAACGATAGGTTTTCCCAACTAAATTCCACAGTTAACTGGTTAAAAACGCGCAAGTTGCTCGAGAAATTTCGCGCGTATATATAAAATGAATTCCGCACGGTGAACTTCACACCTACGACACTTCGGCGAACTTCATTCGTAGTCTAATGGAATGACCCCGTGAACCTACCGGAGGACGGCTTTTACATTTCCGTGGAGTCGGCGGAACGAATCGGCGAAGCTTGCTGTTCAATTCGAATCGAAGCGTGTGTCATGTGTGAATGCAGAGATCTAAGCTATTCGCACGTGTCTAAATGAGAATTTAAGCTGCGAGTATACAGGGTGTCCCCGTATACACGTATCGTCTGTTCTTCGGAGTCGCCTGGCTCTGTCTCGTGTCTTTCGTTTAATCCTGAACAGACGACACACGCATGTCGCGCATGTATCGTTCCGTAACGCGTACGGCCACGAAATTATTTACACTAAGACTCTGTGATCTTGTTACGAGATCAAAACGATCTCTCGTGATATCTACAGATTCGCTAAAATAAAAATTGCACCTAAAGCCAGTACGCTTTGCTGTACGTTCTCCTTTCGTTGGACAATTCAGACGAATCTGTGTCTGTAAAAAATCATAGTTCACGTTTACTCTATCCAGTAAAGTGATAAATACAGATTAAAAATGCTTTGAGACTTCTTTCCGCGGATTCTATGATCGCTTGTGGTTAGTGGATTAAATAGCAATTAACTACAAGTAACGCATTCACGCCGATTGTATAAGAATCTGGAAGTTTCATTCAGGACTGATCAAACTGAACGAACCAAGGATGTGTAAATAGCTTTCTAGTCATCTTCGATTAATTTGTGCTACTCGTTTATGATCGCAAACGACGCTTTCTACGTACTGGCTGTTCGTTGCATTATGTACAGAAGTACCGCGTAGCTGCAGAGTTGACGTATGCAGAAATTAGCACGCAATACCGCGGTGTACATACGCAAAAAAGATAATTGTTTTATCGCAGACTTTACACAGCTAAAGATTGAAAAAGTACAATACAGCCTAATGAGCGTACATAGAGAATGGTATTACATAATATTAGCTCAATTTCTTCGAGTATTCGAAAGCGTATCGTAGGAATTAAATACATGTATAATTGTCTAGAGCGTTATATAATAAATAATCAATAAAATTGTATATACGATGTGCGTAAAAGACAAATTGAACAATATTTTGTACAAGTCATCGGTATTCTGTAAAATTGATAAAAACATCGAATCGTTTTATACATACAAATGCAGTATTCAAATGGGGAAATAAATTGCAATATACAACATCTGAATACCCGAGTTAATTGTAACATTATCAAGTACAATGATCGTCGAATCGTGTATATACATATTTCTGTGAGTTGTATACATACATATATATATATATACACAACGTGCCGAGTAAAGTAAAATAATTCGGGCTAGTCGCGCTCGAGCGAAGAATCTGTATCTAGAAAAAATTCCAGCTAAACGTTGTCGAGTAACGATCTTTAAAATCTAAGCCTAACACTATATTCAAGAATAAATGAGCGGTGAAAAATGTAGACTATCTTTGTTTAAATACGTTTGTATAGTAAAACACGTAGTATCTTCAGCTATGCGCATTTCGATCCGTTCACTTATTCAACGTACAAAGTACTAGCTCGTTCGAAGCCTCGTTTAAAACGGGATTAAATCTAATTAGAACTTGTACGGTTGCACGATACTAGATATAATTCCAAACAGATTCGCGCCGTGTCGCAATCGAGATCGGACACCCGATTCGAAAATTACCGACTAGCGAGAAGCGCGCCGACAATTTAGCACATAGTCTCCGAAGCTGGAGCAGGTACGGTACTCAGGTTTTTGTCGTTCGGATCGGAACTCTCGGAGTCGCGAATCGGCGGTCGTGAAAGCGTCTGTTCGATCTCCCTGGTGACACTGATGGTGGGCGGTGGCCTCCGGGACGACTCCTCGTCGATGGCGGACGCTCTGCGAAGCTGATGCCTGTGCTCGTTTGATATGAAAAACGGCCCGCCGCTCGCCTCGTCCGAGGTGTGCAAGGCTTCGTCGTCGTCTCCTATGTACCTCCTCTGTATCAGATCTTCCATTTGCTGGTAGTCGCACTCCTCGGCGTCGCGTAGGTGTTCGTTCTCGATTTGCCAGGCCATCTCTGCGTTCGACATTTCCGAGTGGTGCCTCACTCTGGACGGCGGCGGAGAAATGGGCGGTGTTCTAGGTGGACTGAGAAGGCCGCAGTAACTTTCCAGTTCATCCGTGATGCTCGTGTACTCTGCACGCATGGCCAGAAGGATCGACCTCTGCGTGCTGGTCGAGGACACCGAGGGAATCACCGCGACGCGCGGCTCCGCCCAAGTGACGCCTCTGGCGACTCCGGAGGGGAAGATCATGACGTCGTCCGACTCGGAACGCGTCCTACTGTTCTGTCTCGTCGGACGTTCCACGGAGTCCTGCCTAGCCGGCTCCGAGGCCGGAGCTTCGCTGCTCGCTTCTCTGCTCGGCTCCTTGCTGGTCGCATCTCTGCTCGTGTCCCTGCTGAGTTCTCTGCTGGTCTGCCTGCTGGGATCCGTGCTCGGCTCTCGGCTGCTGGGCTCTCTGCTGAGCTCCCTGCTTTGGTCTCTGCTCTGCTCCCCGCTGGCCTCCCTGCTATCGGACTGCGACTCTTTCTTCAACGCCTCCCCTGCTCCGTCCGCTTTGCTCACCTCGGTCTCCTGGCTGGTCGTTGTTTTCAGATCATCTTGAGCAGTGTTTCCGTCTCCGCTGACGGAGGAATCGTTTCTACTGAGATTCTCGCGGGAAGCAACGATGTCCGAGTGCTTCAGCAACTCGTCGTCCATCGGCTGGCCGATGTTCAGGAAAGTCCCGTCGGTCAGCGAGCGAACCAGCCTCTTACGCTTCGCCGCTATGGTGGGCAGCTGCGTATGGGAATCCGTTTCCGAGAGGACCTCCGACCGCTCCGACACTCTGCGCTGGCGACCTTCCGTGTCGAAGCTGGACATCGTTTCAATGGTGGGCATGTGCGTTGCCATGAACCGGTGGATCACTCCGAGATGGGCCAGAGTCTGCTCGTTCAGCTCCTCCAGCTTGCGGATTCGAAATTCTACTGTCTGCGAGACAAAGAAGACGTTTAACCTCTTAGGCATGTTGTTCTCTACGCGAGTACATTGGAATGAAGTTTTTCATGATTAAATTATAATTTTTCTGAAAGATACGATACACATAATTTGCCTTTAACAATTTACTTTAATAATTAGTGATACAATTGGGTATGATCTATGATATATTGGTAGCGACGGAGCCACTATAGTGGCGCGTCGTGCCTAAGAGGTTAATGGAACGTACGAGAGTTAGGAGTGTTCTGTTCGTTTCGTTTGTTACCTGGAGCGAAGCGTTCTGGGTGTGCTCCTTTTTGTCGATGTCCTCTATCTTCTGATGCATGTTCTCCACTCTTTCCGTCGTTATCTTGACGCGCTCCTCCGTGGACATCTGCAGCTTCAACTCTTGCTCGCGGAAGTATCCCTCGACGCAGTCCTCTTCGAAATCGTATAGGCGCTGCATGTCGTCGGCTTCTAGGAACAACTTAAGTCCGTTGTCGTACGTTTCACCCGTACTCGCTTTCCCTTGAGTCACATATCGCAGCACATATTTCACCAGCAGATATATGTGACAAACTACAATGAGCGGAGGAGGTAAAACAGGTTTCTGCTCGTACTCCATGACAACGGTAAAACGTTGGAACTTCCAAACCTGGTGCGCCACCGCGTTTACCTCGTTGAAAATATTATTAAAGACCGCGATCAGTAGATTGATCATCAGTATGTTCGCGATTAAAAGATAAATGGACATTACAGCAGGCGTGATCCAGCGGCCTGGAAGACACGGTATCATTCCCGGCTCGTCCCCGCAGTCTGGATCAATGTTGTCCGCGTACACTTCTCCGTACAACATAAAATACGGCTCCATAAATATCTGTGGGATAAACCGTGTGATTCTCTCGCAAATATTATTACTTAACGTTGATCATAGAAATACATACGTCTCGAATGATCTTTAATTTCGGCTCAGCGTTGGGGTTCAGAATAGCCTGCCGTGTCACTCCAAAACTCATCAGTACAACCAACAACAACACCACGAAGTAGATCATGTTCTTTACCATTTTTCCCATCATGGTAACCAAAGGACCTGTAACAAGCAGTTCGGATTTATTCACCTGATACGCGTTACATGAATGATAACGTAAATAGGAAGAGATATTAACATACCGAAATACTTGTTTACACCAAGGATGTTAAGTATCCGTAAGTACCAATAAATGCAGTCGACACAGTAGATGACGCGACCGACATCCAGAGTGGAATGTCTCAAACGCAAGGCCAGGCCAATTTGGAAAAAAATGATGGCAGCTGCGTCGCAAGGGTTCCACATGTTCCACGCCCACACGCTGAATTTATGGGAAAGAGTGGCTGGCTCCGACGTAGCGATTTCGCGAACCTTCTCGCAGCCCAGCGTGCAAATATACGCAATTGCATAAATCTCTGCCAGCGAGGGATGGTACTCCATGTGTATGAGGATGCAGTATGAAAAGAGAAGCAGGAAAATGATGTATGCTATCTGTAACAAGAGAAATATGGATTGCTTACTTATCTTATAATTGAATCTAATTAGAATATCAAGTGATGCAAGGTAACTCACAGCATTTGCCCAAAACTTTGTGATGGGAGCTGTATAAAATTCATACAACTTCTTCCTTAGCCGCAATGGTCTGCTATTCTTGATGTCATAATAGTCAGAATGGATGCCATAAGCACGATGAATCCCGACATCGTCATTGTCGGTCAGTACCTTCCCATTTTCTTGTACAATCGTTTCCTTCACTACTGTTGTGGTGTGTTCGTTGCTGATCAAAGCCTACACGAAGAATCGAGGTTTTCAGTAAAACATAGAGCAACCTTATGCCAGCTGCAGAGGACATGTACAACATAGACAGTAGGAGAATCTTAAATATTAAAGAAGTATTAATAATTCTCATTGCTAACTCTTGGTCATACTTAGAAACTATTTACGATTAAGGGCATTGCCAACAAATCAATTACAGGGAACAGTCTGTTACAGTAATACAGAATATGCAACGAGCAAACAATGAAATGAAACTATTTTCGCAGTATTCCAAAACACTGTGGAAATAGAAATGCAACAGGGATGTATGGAACGTACAATGTTCGCATAAACGTGTAACTATTGTTTCATGTGAATACAATGTAAATACTTGATTTAGAATGTAAGACAAATCAATGATCAGTCTAATCAACCAACTAATTAGCTATTCGAGTAGAAAGCTGTTTTCCAGAATGTAATTTTTCAAGGGTTACTATTGTACGTAGGATGGCAGCAAGAAACATAAAGTAGGTGACAATAAAAACAAAAAGCGACGAATAAGGTGCAATTCGCATTAAGAATAATGGCCGCATAGAATGTAAATTATTAGTGCATTTTAGTACGCAATCTGATGAGGACGATAAGGATTAAAGAGGACAGACGTAATTTCGAATGGTGTTTCATTCCATTTCCCTTTTCCTTTATCAATAACTTTTTGAAATTCAACTCTTGAAAGAGTAAGGGTGGTTTAAGTTTTAAACAAGATTCCGAAGAGTTATACTTCAATTGTGATAGAAAACATTGGTACGCTATGGCAACACACATACAACATAGTAATTAGTAATACCGACAATGAAATATTTGACCAAGCTCAATAACAGATAACGAGGGAGTAGCATAAATTTAAATGTTAATTGGATTGTAGACATCAACTTGGAGGTATACTACCGGTATTTGATATTTAATATCTAATATTATTATATTATGTAATATTAATATATGACATATAATGGTGGTGTTTTATCGACATTAAACGGTTTCGAGATATTTATAATACAGCACGTAATGCGATTACGATAGTAGCGTTAAGTATCATCCTCACCGGTACGGATTCCGATACTGAATAAACAGAAGTTTTCCTTGACGATAACTAATAACAAAAGAGAGATAGTTGAAAAGTGCACTGGAAAGTGTGAACTTATTGGTCATAGAGAGTCATTGTGTTTCAGGCCATTATAGATTATACCTTAGCGCCTTGTTGGCTACTGGATTTGTTGCGTACGCTCAGGCTCCTGCGCTGACGTTTCTAAAAAACAATTCATACGCATACCCACATAGTCTATGAATCACAAAACACATTTCAATACCTCTAACACTGAATAATACATTATACCATTAAACACTGACTGACCAATAAGCATGTAACATTCTTTCTTAACGATTCATTGAAGTATACACAGTCGAACAATAGGAAATAATAAAATTATATTGTATATTCAATAAAATACAAGTGACACACCTTTCACGTACATACAGAAAACGAAAATAAAAGAACCGAATGAAACATTGTACTACAGTACAAGACTGACTGACATATTACAGACTTTACTTGGAATCTTCAAAAAAAATGTAATATCATGAATAGAACCTACATGTGTATACGTTTTCATGTAATTCATCACACTACAGTTCAAAACCAGCAACCATATAGAATATTTCTAGCAAATCAAATGTTATATCCCAACCGACTTCCATTGATAATTAAAAGAACAAATACTTTCCATTTCACGTTGTAATTTGCAGTAAATTCAAAAGATGTTACCAAAAATAATAAAGCAATGGCTGTCAGTATGTTTCTAAAATAAATTAATAATTGCAGCATGAAATGAGTAATGAATTATCATAAAAGCAATGACAGGTTGCATTAATTAATACTGATTATTATAGCATTCTATACAGAGTGTTACAACAATTTCTTCACAAATTCAGAACTCTGAACGCATATTTGTTTATTCGAACTAAAAGTATCTTTAGAATTATTTAATATTCTTTTACTTAATTAGTTAAGAGTTACTACCTCAACGTCTGGACCGGTTGGCACACCGTGCTCGGAATCACTGTCCTCTTTTTCATCCTCGAGAGCAATCAGATGCTCTTCTTGGGTCTGTGGCATCAGCTGTAACTCTTCTCGACTTTTAAACTCCAAACGAGTAATATATAAGGGACAAACAAGACCGAGAACAACCTATATTCAAAATAAACCAATTAGTTCAAGGGTGGAAAAAACTGTAACGAATATGTCTATTACCTTAAGATTCGTATTTTTCCTTGTGCGAAGGCCACCCATCCACAAATCAGCTAAAATAATTTGACTGCACGGGTGCGCCAAAAGTGGCCGATGATTGGCTGTAACTGCTAAAGAGAGACACGTCTGACCAGACCAGTTTTGCAGTTCGGAAGTTAATAGCTGCTGCGTTTGATCGTCATCCTGACGGTAACAATAGTCCAGCAATTCCAACGCTGTAGACGAGAAGTTGTGTTTTATACGTAGTTACTTCTATCCTATATCCTACTACCATATAAAATTCTAGTAGGTAGATCGTTACCAATATTTTCAAACTCCTTTCCACAACTGCGTAACTCGTCGTAGATTTCTGTTTCAAGATCGTCCTCGGCTGCTTCGTGCGCCATGGCTTTATACAATTTCAGGGCTACAAGCGCTTTCGCCAATGCCTCCTCTCCGTGCTGCCACATCAATAACGCCATTTGTTGTCGTTTCGTTAAAACGGCCCAGGTGAGCAGTTCATTGAAAGGGTAGGCGAACAGAGTAGTGTCACGATTCGCGGGTACAGTCTCTGCGAGAAGACTTATCGTTGAACTCTCCTGCTTGCTACTTGAACCTGAATAATAACGGGTGGCACTACCCCACGCACAACTGTTCCGATGCATATGTTGCTGATGAGCTCCTGATCTCTTCATCACTGTGGTATAGATCTCTCGGAATTTTCTGCGAGTATACTGGGAGCGATACGCTCCACCCATCAATTTATTAATTACCAAGCCAATGTCGTGCAGAGTGTACATGTAACCGCGTGGAATATTTGGCCTGACGTCGCGCAAAATATAACCCAAAGTGTTTGCAGGGCCTTCTTTCTAAATGAGACAATTTTTCTGGATAACTTGTTGCCCTACGCGAACCTCAAGAGCAATCTAATAAAGACTTACGGTATTGTATAATTCTTCCAGACGAGGTATCGACAAAAATTTCCGCATAGAGACGCCATTCTCTAGTAGAAGCTTAACAAAATCAATTCTATCGTGCTGCAGAGCTTGCATCATTGCTTGTTCTAGTGCACCTGGCGGCCATTTTTGCCCGTAAACAAATATTTCGCTTCGCGCTATATCTACCCTATTCCAAATTAAAGATAAAGACAATTGTTCAGCAGGAGATAACTGTTTAGATTTAAACAAGGCTGTCAAAATTGTTTGGTCCAGCTCTTGCGGTCGATCCTGTGTTATCCTGAACACTGTTATCTACAAGTAGTTCATGTATTAAATGAGGATGAGGGTGTCAAGGTTAAACAGTTAATAATATGAGCTTACCAAGTGCTTTTTACGCGTGCACTGCAGTAGTTCAGAATACAGTTGACACGCCTGGTCAGAAGAAACTTTAAAAGTGCGCTCGATTGTACCCAAAACTTGTTTCCTCATGCTCTCCAATAGACCCTCACTTTCTCCACCTTCTCCGTCACCTTCGGACGCATACCTGAACGTTTGTTTCTTCATTTACATTTTGTTCATTGAGAGTATACACGTACAGTTAATTAGCATGCTAGATAATACTTGTGCATAAAAGCGATGAGATCAGCCGCACGTCCTGAGCCATCGCAAATTACAACTGGAACCGGTGGATCGTCCGTCACATATTCTAAAACTGAACGTATCGTGTTTGTTCCTCCTTCGATGACTAATGCCACGACAGGAATGCTGCTATGCGTGTCTGTAACAACGGGTTTCTACTTGCTTCTTTGTATATGCACCAACAGTGATAAGTTGACTGTAGAGCTTTATACACTTACATGGTTGCAGTTTCAGATTGGAAATATACTTTTCTAATTTTCTACGCAACACAATTTCTGCACCATACCGGTCGCCAGTACCGTTATCCACCAATAAAAAATATGCATGTCGATTGTTTAGAACCGCATACTTGGACCTAAAGAATTTGTAACGGAAATGAAAGAAACATTGCAGAACGTTCCGAAACTAATTGAACAGTATTCATTGATAATCTATTCTTACCATGGAGATGAAAGACAATCGTATGGCACTTCACCTCCTCGGCTCACAAGTTCATGGCTTTTATCTAAAATTCCCCATGGTGCTATACCTATGCTCACAACACGTCCTTGCCTTTGGGATTTTTCTAGAAGCAACGCATCACCGACTTGCCTCGTGACACCTGTTAAATTTTGATTGAAATTACAAATTGGTCTTGATGTTTAAACAACAAGCGAATAACCTGTGTTAGTTCCTCCAGTGAATATCCATGCACCCGTTGTCTTTGCAGCTTTCAGCAAGCCTTTCCGTAAGACCTTCTTTAAGCTAGCCTGAAGTTCAAAGTTAGAACGACCACCGTGCACAGTGATAAGTAACTTAGGTAATCCCAAGTTCCATTCTCTACATAGCAGCTGTACTATTGGCTCTGGTCTTGTATCATGAGCTAATCTAACATACTACAAGATTCAGTTAGTAGTGTATTCTGACACTGAAATACAATCAATGTGTATTATTTACCTGTGCCTTTGTTGGATGTGGCCCACCTTGAAACTCAATTGTACCATACGCATCGGTTGGAAGCGACCGCGTATTCTTGCTTGGAGACCATTGTTCCCGATCTTTTTCTTTGGTATTACTAGCGGTATAACTTTTAATATCTGCTCCAGTTCCACAGTGATGAGTATAAGAATGACCACAGCAACACCTGTAATAGTTAATCAATTACTGTTTTTATCGTAGACTAGAACAAGTGCATGTGGGCGCAAATGAATGCAAACTGTTTCCTTTAACGCTAAAGCTGAGCTCTTAATACACCATGAAAGCATAGAGACCTAATAATTAAAATATAACATTATCCACATGCAATTGCACCTCATCATTGCTGATCTTGTTATATCAGATTACTTATAACTGTACAGTATCTATTTTATATCTTCTCATTGAATAGGGAGATCATCGAATACACTAAAGCTCGGAGAAACATTAACTGATATGCAGGCAGAAATTTAAGTATATAACAATTATAATTACATTGATAAAGATGGTTTGATCGTTGCTATTGAAGCATGATACTGTTTCTGTCCATGATAGTGTTTCTTTGTGTATATAAGGATCAATGTAAATACATTGAATGATCAAAAGAATGATGAGTATGGATCTTTGTAGGGAAAAATGAACGTTTTGTGCAAAGCTTTCGATAAAATATAATGTAAAACAATGTTTTTCTAAGCAAACCTGTATAAACGAAGCATATAAAAATCTATATAATTTTTTTGGTGTCTATAGGACCTTGGATTTTAGTAACATCTTTCGTACGTCCGCTATTAACTGGGAACACTATACATATAAAAATCGTGTGTAATATTTCAGTACTTATTTAGCTATTGAATCAACTGAAAATGCATACTATACT